AAAGATATTATTCCCTATATTTGCTTCATTAACATTCGTTTCAATATAGTCATAATAATAACATCCTAGGCTTAGCCCCGGATGACTCCTGTTCTTTTCCAGGTGAAGGTTGTGTTCCCCATAGCCCTCAAAGTGAAGGTTACCAGAGTACGGGGCTTGTGTATCGAGGGTATGATACGGGGTGATCACCTTCACTTTTGGAAGAAATTTTTTGGAAACGATAAATAAGGAAAATGAGCAAAACAAACGCAAAAAGGATTATTGAAAGCATATTTTTATGTAGAGGCGGCATATATAATTAAAATAAAAGTGCTTAGTAAATGGTGTATTTGGCAGTAGAAGTTAGCGGGACTGTACGGATTTTATTAATTAAATTTTGTCAAAAGTACTGCGAAGAAAGTAGGTCGATCCAGGGAGTAACCGCCGAGAGCCAGAATTTTGAATAATAGACTAACGAAAAACCATGCGAAATTTCCACGGTTAAAAATCTGGTGTTTGAAGACGTCAGCAATTGCTTTTGTAGAGTAAGAGCTGCCTTATCAGAATATATCCTAGCCGTACCGATTTACTGAAAAAGCGCCGAGATCCAGGGTTTTGAAAAAGCAGGGTAAAAAAGCGCTTTTTGAGTTTCAACAGCTCATAACTTCTTCAAAACTGCATAAGTCATGTTGCGAGTTAGATTCTTCTCATCAGAGCCTTCAGATGATATATATAATATGTGGGCGTTTAGGGCCTCCTACGACTTATGCCTGGGGGAGGAACTTTTTATCACAAATTCTCTCCCCCCCCCTCCCCCTAGCCTACTTAAATGTACTGGATGTAGACCGCCATGGGAGAATCCTGCATTTTCTGCTTCAAAATGTATAAAAAGTTATAATATTTGGAAAAACTGCCTTTTCACCGAATTCTCAAGCATTTGTTTGACTCAAATGAAGGTTCTAGTCTTCTCCGAGCCTTTGCAATGAGTATGGTGAAAAGCGTAGGAGCCAACATGGCGTAGTCGCTGGTATTGATGAATGAAGCTCAATCATACCTAGGTGTAAACGCACTTTTGAAAAGCAACTCTCGATTTCTGACGCGCGAAAATTTTCGGTTGGAAGTTGACACCTTGTTTGCATGGTAACGTACTCATGCAGAAGCCGTCAGACTTTTTACAAAGACGTATTTGCAGCATTAAACTTACAAGGGAAGGAAGGTGGGCCGAAGTGGCCTTTCAGAATGAGATGGGTATCATCTTGTAGGGCTTCGAACGCTGATTTCAAATCTGCCTTCCTTATCTGCGGCGCGTTTTTGGGTGAGGAGTTATGAGGGTTTTTAGGGGGCGGAAGTCGACACAAGTACAATCAAGGACAGCACACCGCTGTGTGCCGTCTGGTGTAGTGGTTAGTGTGGTGGTCTTGCAGGGAGAGGCTCCCAGGTTCGAATTTCCTACTGTGGTTTTCCTTTTGCTGGTTTACAAAAAATTTGTATGAGCACGCGTATCGTCTATACATCAACTCTTCCTTCTTTTAACTGCAAATCTCTTCAAAAAGTTTTATCACTCTATGTTTCTAAACGTCTATGTGCACCGATGAAAGGAGAGGACAAAATGTGCAAAACATACGTGCGGGCGGGCAGGCGGGCGTTCAAAACCTCTCGGATGTGCATCAAGGTAGCCGCTGGCGTACCAGGAATAAGCCAAGAGAATAGGCGAGAATATCTTGTAGGTTAATGAGTTTTTGATTGCGTAACTTGTACGTGCGTTTTTTCAGCTTTACCAACTATGAACGTGGGTCTTTGCATGTTGAGAACATTGTGACCTTTTACGTTCACCGGGGTGTTACGTGACAAATTTTCTTTTGACATTTCTATCTCCACTTTAAATCACTTGCAAAGATCTTCAGAGAGAGCAGTTGTTGCCTTGAAATTCTGATAAAAGAAACAGGGAGTGGTGTATGGACGCTGTTCATGCTCATGTAAATTTTTTGTAGACCAGCAAAAGGGAAATCACAGTAGAGGATTCGAACCTGGGAGCCTCTGCTTGCAAGACCACCACGCTAACCACTACACCAGACCGCACACAGCGGTGTGCTGTCCTTAATTGTACTTGTATCGACTTCCGCCCCCTAAAAACCTCATAACTCCTCACCCAAAAACGCGCCGCAGATAAGGAAGGCAGATTTGAAATCAGCGTTTGAAGCCCTACAAGATGATACCCATCTCATTCTGAAAGGCCACTTCGACCCACCTTCCTTCCCTTGTTAGAACACCTTGTCTGCAGCTCAGCTGTGCGCAGTGTATCTCACATGACTTCAAATTTTACTGCTTTGGACTCCTCTCCAAGTCAAATCTTACAAAACTGTCAGGAGTACTAGAATTTTGAAGTTTTGAGCGGTTTTCCGCTCGATCGAGAGGTCAGAGTGTGTCACGATCAGGCAGAGTGCACCACTCATTTTTGGAAAAAAGGCTTTTAACGCGAAAGCAAAATCTCGAGAGTTGCGATGATGTTCACGCTATGCGCAAGAGTCTACCGTCGTGCAGGCGACGTGCTGAGCAAGTGACAGAGCTTTTCAGGCATTAGAACTCAATTTCTGCGGTTCGAAACTCGTCTACCTGGAGGTGAGGTTGGGGCTCGTTTATCAATATGAGTGACTACACTGTCAACTCCTGCGCTTTTCACCATATTCATTGCAAAGGCTCGGCGAAGCCTAAGACCTTCATTCAAGTCAAACAAATGCTTGAGAATTTGGTGAAAAGGCAGTTTTCTAAATATTATAATTTTTTATACATTTTGAAGCAGAAAATGCAGGATGAATCTTCTTTTTGAAAAAACGACTGCTTCCGAGTGTGGTACATGTTTTATATTTTGATATTGTCTATGTACAAAAAATTTTAGCTTCAAAAAACGTAGTACTGATTGGAAATGAGAGGTGGCTTTATAGCTGTGACCAGCCTTGGGAACCCCTTTTTTCAAATTTTTCAATTTTTCTCCGGCTAAAATCAATGAAATTGGGAGCCGTTCTGGTCAATTTTTGAATTTTGATGAGAAGAATCTAACCTATGAAGTCTCAACATGAAGACCCTGGATCTCTGTTTCAATGGGTCGGTACGACTAACAAGGGAGGTCGAATCAGTCGAAGTGGCCTTTCCAAATGGGTCATATACCATTTTGAAGAGCTTTGAACGCTGATTCCGAATCTGCCTTCATTATCTGCCGAGCGCTTCTGGACGTCAGGTTATAAAATTTTTTTGGAGCGAAAAATGAACTCAGAATTCAAGTAAAATTAACTATTACGGACTTTTCAGCGCCTAAATAGAGCAACATGTAGTATGAGTGTTTTGGACAGAAGGTATCCTTTGTAATGGAGTGCTCTGATAACCAACTTCGGACCATTTGAGCAATTCTGACGAATTTTGCTCTAATTACGCATTAAATTTTTCAACCAAAGGAACGCTCATAACTCGGCGTCCAGAGGCGCTCGGCAGATAACGAAGACAGATTCGGAATCAGCGTTGCATGCTCTATTAAATAGTATGCATTTCATATGGAAACGCCACTTCGACCAAGTATCCTTCCCTTGTAAGATATATTCTGATAAGGCGGACCTTACTCTATGAAACCTGTGATCGCAACTTTCCACACTTTCACATTCAAGATTTTCATGAGTATAACTGTCACTGAACAAGCTAAAATGCCGTAATTTTTTAGAATTCTGGTTTTCGGCGAACATCTCTCAAATCGACTTGATTCTTTCACTATCTAATAGGGCACCACTTACTCCTTAAAACCTGTAAAGTCGCAATTGCTGACATCTTCATACAACAGGTTTATAACAGTGGAAATTTCGCATGAATTTCACTATTTAATTATTCAAAATTCTGGTTCTTGGGGTTACTCCCTGAATCGATCTACTTTCTTCGCTTTACGTTATAACAAGATTAACTTGATAAGATCCGTACAGTTACGCTGAGTTTGACTTCATACACCATTTGATAAGTACGTTTATTTTAAATATTTATCCCGCTGTACACATAAAAATATGCTTTCAATAATCTCCTTTGCATTTGTTTTGGTCTATTTTCTGCGCACTGGCGGCAGGATAGGCTCAGTCGACGTTAACGCTTCCCCCCCCCCGTGTCAAGGTTTACCGTGTTTCACCCAAATGTCAATGTTCGATAAAATTGACAAGTAATAGTATTTTCATAAACGTTTTTTTTTATCGTAATCGGCATGCTCACTTGGCCTAGCAAATATAAGTTTGGAATAAAAAAGTGAGATGTGTGAACGAATCAATAACTATTATTATTTTGTCCGGCTTCGTCATCATCTCATGCTTACATGTTTCAGCATACTTGGCATGCGCTTCCATATTTCAACACAGCAAAGGCAGCAACATAGCGTACCCTACGTGTCATGATACTCACTCGCGCGCTTTTACGTCTGCGTCCTCTCATCCTCACCATCGCACTCCGCTTATTCCAGCGGAAACGGTGCGACTGGCGTCTACTCAAGAAATACGTTGAAGCCATACACAAGGGCGGACCAATTTAGCCGTCGCGTTTTTTGACTTTGGGTTTATTTTATAAGAGGGATTTTTTTGTAAATTTTTTGTAATGGTAGAGTAAGTTGGCTGTACTACAAAGAGCGCCGACATAATGATAAGATTAAGGTTAACATAATAATAACAACCACAGATTCACTTTGCACTAAGCATTTGAAACTTTGTCAACAAAAAAAAACAGCAAAGTACAAACAGATTGAATATGAGAAGGGATTCGTGACTACGCCAGTTTCTAGACATTGCCAGTTTTTCATACGAAACAGCAAGTCTTAAAATTTTTCTAGAAATCAATGGATTTTTTTCGTTAGAAACAAGATTCTGACAGTGCAATGAAACAGCAAGAATTTATGAACTTTCTTGCGAATGAAACAGACACTACAATTCGGTAATTGGCATCTGACAGCATAACACAACTTGACGATATCTATGGTTTTGTTGTGGGATGACAAAAAAGGCCTTAAAGGGTCAACATTTATTCATTGCTTGTTCGATATTGTAGATTGTTAATTACAATCATCGATCACAACAATCAAATGCACTTGAGTCCTGCTTCAATGTAAAGCCATTTTCTTGCAAACGAATATTCTCAATTTTTGGTCGCAGGGCCAGTCTGCCCATGTATGATAGTAAAGTCCATGAGGATCGTTGAGGTGAACTTCATTGATCAGCTAAAACAAGACTTCTATTGGTTTCTTTCAAACTGAAAAAAATCAATCTTATATAAGAAGATTGGATAAAAGAAGAACGAAGAAGTAAAACTCAGTAAAATACCGCTAGTGGTTGAACTGAAAACAGAGTTAATTTACTGGGTCACATTAGCTCTGTGAACTCAACTGCAAATTACAGTTAATTCGATAAAAGGTCAAAATGTTTGCAAAACGGCGACTTAGTAAGCTTCATCACCCGCAAATCAGTTATTCTTGATTTTCAAATTTCTTAAGGACAATTATCAACCTTCTAGCTAAATGACATCAGGGCCGGTATTAATCTACTACTTGGCGGCATCAAAGATGCCGCCAAGTTGGCACACATCACGGAAAGTTGCCAACTCCGGCGGCAGCTCGCGAATTGATCATCGGTTCTGATAATATCATATAGTCTCACTCCGCAGTTCTATGCACATGAAATGGTGACGCTGATAGCCGCAAAAACAGTTATCGCGTGCGTTCGAACCTGAATGCGTCAACTTCAGCGCAGCCGCACTAGCAACCATTCGACCACTCGTTCGGTTTCCGTTGTCTGCGGCAGCAATGATAGAAACGGTACCTAAGTGGCCCCTGTATGAGAGCATGATCAATACATTGCACGATAGACGCTGACCTGAAAAACCGCTGATTGATAAAAACGAGCGAGAGATACAATCGTTGCGGATGAGGTTTTTAGCAATTGCAAAATGAAAATTGCGTTCTTTATGGTTTCAAAATATCACTAGATGTTTCTTGTGCATGCATATCATCGATTTGGAGAAGAAACCCATATAATGACATAAGTGATAGCTTTTCGGTAGAAAGTAAATTTTTTGATTCTTTTGCTGGAAGTAAGTTGAGTGATATTGCCGCGCAACCAATCTCACAGACGCCGCCAGTAAGGTGCCTCCACCTCGACGTGGTAGGGGCACGTCGTCGTGGCACCTTGACCTCTCAAATGAGCGCGCTATTTCTCGTGCTCTCTGACCTGGCGGCATCCCTCAGCGCTAAAATTTGGACGAGATGCTGCCAGGTCAGCTCGCAAAGTTGCCGCCAGAACTTCCTGCCCACCTCAATAATTTTGTTCAGGGGGGTTTTTTAGAATTTCCAATTGCCAAGTGAGGTTCTCTAGAGTCACAATAGTCTCCTCGACCAGGAAGATCGTGGTGAAAAAGATTTGGAGGGCACAGATTTGAGGTCGGTGTTCCCGCCGACTTCACGTAAAGTTGACGGCGACCTGACGGCGATGCCGCCAGGTTGGGGGGATTACTACCGGCCCAGGAGCCTTGTTTTTAATCAGTGCATAGTCTTCTAAAAGGTAATGGAACACATGCTGGAAAAAATTAGGAGAGTAGATGCTAAAACCTGGCAATCAAGTAATAAACAAGTCGTTTGCACATTTCTATAACCTATATTCGTAATTTTCAAAAATTTCGCGACCCATTCTCGGGGGGGGGGGTCCTCAGACCGCCACTGGTACACACATACATACATACAGACATTCAGCTTTATATATAAGACTAGCGAACCTACGGGCGCTAGCAAGTGGGTCGGGGCAGACACAACATTAGGTTTATTAGTCCCATGCGAGATTTTGGGAAAATTTTTTAATTACCATTCTTTCTCTGGGGGCAGATAATTTGTAGTGCCCACGTGACCCTAAGGATCGCTAGCAAGTGAGGACAAATTTGTAGTGCCCATGACCTTACGGATCGCTAGCAAGTGGGGCTAGATATTTTGTAGTCCTCAGATGACCTACGGATCGCTTGCAAGTGAAAGCAGATAAGTTGTAGTGCCCAGGTGACTCTACGATACTCTAGCAAGTGGGGGCAGGTATTTTGTAGTGCTCAGGTGACCCTACGGATCGCTAGCAAGTGAGGATAGATAATTTGTAGTGCCCAGGTGACCTTACGATACTCTAGGAAGTGGGGGCAGGTATTTTATAGTGCTCAGATGACCCTACCATACGCTAGCAAGAGGAGGCAGATATTTTGTAGCGCCAAGATGACCCTACGGATGCTAGCAAGTGGGGCATATCCCTTATAGTTTCATGTGATCAAGAGTAGGAGCAGAAACCGGCAAATAACGTCCTTTCAGTGAACGTCTTGCAAAGTAATCACAAATAGAAATGCGAGCAGCTGATTTTTGTATAGCCTTCTTTTCCATGAGCAAAGTTCGTTGATTAAAACGAAAATATTTTCAAAAAATGCCACAAAATAATCAGTTTCGTTGTTTTCTATTGCATTGTTTGCTCCAAAATCACTTTTTTATAGAGCGCTCGAATTACATACTTGATCCAACCAGAAATTTTTGATTGAAAGTTTATAGAAATCGCAATTTCTGCTCTTGTTGTTGCAATTTTTGAATTTTGGTAACGGGACGTTTTGGAAAATCAATTTTAATCACTACTCTCTCTGACAAAACAGAAAGCTGGCTATAACTTCCTCTTGCAAACGGAAACCAAGCTAGAAGAAAATTGAATAGATCAATGGCTGGAGTGACTCCGTACACAATTATTTTCGCTAACATGGCAAGCTGCTATTTCAACACAAAGCAAGTGCAGCAACAAATCGATAAAAGTAGCCAATAAATAATCGATAATTTTTAAGTACAATGTTTTTGTACTTAGCATGCACACATACACCTCTGCACCGATTCTCAGCCGCATAGCTCGAAGTTGAATAATATCAGCTTCGCCAGGGACCCATAGTGCAAGCCTAATCTCTCGCCAACATAATGACTACTGGCTTTTCCTCCGACATCATTGAGCGCCGTTCTAATTTCGCACTCCTTTTTCTGGAATCCTTCAGCAAATGGACCCTCCTTCAGGCATGGGGTTGAGGATAGGAGGGACGCAGAAAACTCTGTTGTAGCGCTTGGAAGGATCCAGTGTATATTATAGTAAGGATTATCTTGAAAACACCCGCAGATCAGATCAGAAAAGTTGTGTTCTCATAGCCTTCTTGCTAAAAATGAGGTTCTGTTTTTTGTGTGAATTTGCGCAGTATCTAGGACAACAATTCTCAATCAAAGTCTGCTTAGTTTTGAATGGTTTTAGAAGTCCACGAAAGCTGTTGGAGTTCAATAAAAAGAGAAACTGCTCAAATCTTAAGCAGGGGGCACGCACAAAGATGCTTGTTTTTGCTCAAACATTAGCACGTTGTCAGTGCTCCTAGCGGTGTCATGACGATCAGAATATTATATAATGTTACGGTTTCGTTGAGTCTCCACGGAATTCTTCGACCAGAGCAAATGCCTTGTCGGCTTCGGTTTTTTTCCTTTGCTTGGTCTCCACACGTTGCGCGCTACCTCGCTGCCCCAAACGCAACACGGACATTTGGCTCTGATCCACTTTTCTTTGTTGTCCTGAGTCCAATTCCAGCAAACTGAATATCACCACGAAGCTCTTGTTCTCTACTTTCACACCTGACAATGTCGCAAAACTCCTTTTTCTATTTGACCGATAGGCAAACCGCGTTTTTTCCAAAAGGTTCTTCGTATATTTGATGAATCTTGCTTCTGTCTGTAATGTAGACAACGCTGCAGAGCTTACTTCTTTGATCGTGGTTAAGTACTCGACTCAAATCTTTAAAAAGCGCGTCTTTGAGCTTTTTATTGGAGTGACTAAGCAGGCAGTTTTCTCAAATCTTTGGGGCATCTCGCTCAGGATCATGAGCGGAACAAAACTATCAAGTTTGCCAGAAATAATTTACGAGAAGTAGGTAAGAATTCGAAGAACGCATCAGAAGCTAGATTGGCTATGACGTGCATTTCGATTTGGTAAAACCAGAACTTTGCTTTTCGTGACTGTTTTTTGCTTATCATCTTCTTGATGGTCATTACTTCTGAAACATGGTGGTTTTTGAAAGAATCACATAAAAAAAGTAGCTTATGTTCGTTTTCTCCCGTGTCGTAAATTGCCTGGTAATGGAGCGAAAACCTGCAGTTTGAAATGCCGACAGATAAAGAATTTGAACTCGTTGCAACGTTTTTGTCCGGCTTTTGGGATTTTCTTTTGCTTTTGGTATTTGTTGTGCATCTTTTTCTCTTCTTCGACTTTCTATAGACAACCTTTTCATTTTATATTGGGCAGCTAATCAAGCAACCTTCACTTTTGAGGCGCTATCTGTAGACAATGTACGGTGTCGTAGGCTACTTTTCGTTATCGATCGATATCGACTTTGTCGATTTATTGCAAATTTGAGTTAAGGGGCTAAAGGTTGGCATAAGGGAGGGGAAGGTAAGTGAGAACGATGACCACGAGTACGATATCAGTTTTGCTAATGTCATTACCTTTATCGATTTTTACCTTTAGTTAAGGGTTGAGAGTAAGCACAGAAGGGGGTATATGAGCGTGTCATTAAGGAAAGTAACATCAATTTAGAGAATCACCGGGTCAAGCATGGGATGTTACAAGCCACACCTGGGGGACGTAGAGGGTTCAGGAAGAGAAGGGGGGGTCGTTATCGAAGTGATAGTGATGTTAGCGACATTATGTCATTCAAGAATGTCTGATAGGCCCACTGTACAAAATACCAGCGCTGATGTTTTGGCCGTCGTACACGCACAGTAAGCATATTAAAAGAATTTTTAAAGCATAAGAGCATCATTTGCATAATTAGCATGTCAAATAACCCATGAGGGCCAAGTTCCAGCGAATTTTGAGGTTTTCAAACATACACTCAAATGAGGTGGTCACTTTCGACATGATAAATTCGTTTTAAAGGTGAGGAAACTACTTCTTTTTGCACTCATTACAAGGTACTATTACTGCTTTGCTCGTATTAGGAATACCACTTCAACTCACCTCTCTCAACTCTGAAATTGAAAGCAAGTCAGTCTCTTTTGTCCCGTTTTTCGCTTTCAATTTCTCAGACTAGAGAGGTCAATCAGGCTCAAATCGCTTTTGTGAAAGTTGCGAGGATCAGGCTATCGAATATGCTTGTTCTTGCCGCCTTCCTTCGCGATTCACGTAGTAGCGC